ATATATATATATATATATATATATATATATATATATATATATATATATATATATATATATATATATATATATATATATATATATATATATATATAGTCAATTAATTTGTATTTAAAATCAAAACGGCAGAATATAAAAATCGAAGAAATTAATAATTTTTCAAACCGTATCCGCCGGGGAAGGCGTATCGAGGCAAAGGCTCCACCACGTGGACTATGGTGATCACCTTCGATTCATGCTCACCGGCCGCCGCCGTCGACACCGCCGCCGTCTCAGCCGCGGATTTCGGCTTCAAGATTTTATCGAGCACCCACTGAAGAGCGTTGAAGCTCTCCTCGCTGTCGTCAATGGCCACCAAAACGTGCATCGCTTTCTCCACCGCCGGCAGCATCGCCGCCTCCTCCTCCACCGCCGCCTCCTTGCCTGCACTAGCTCCCTCCATCACCGCTAATAGTTATCTGCTTCTGTCTTTCTTTGGAATTTATTTCTGTAGGTGAATACGGCGTCGTATAGTGACAAATTTGGTTATAATTAATTTTGTTTTGCGTGGCTGAATGGATATATATTGGCTGCATGGAGGACACGTGTGAGGCCTTGTGGTCTGCCACGTTTCCAATACCCCTCCTTTGTAATTTAATTTTTTTTAGTTAATTAATCATAAGTTTAAGAATAATTATAGATATTTAGGCAAATTTAATTATGGATTTTCTCCGGTTATAAATATGCACACTAACACACAGTAGCTGGTGTTTGTTGCAAATAGTAGTGGGTTGAAGTTGAAATTAGTCTTCACTTAATATATACAGACTACAGTTGTGTGGGCTAGCTGTGATTTGATTTGACTCTATGGAAGCGGCGGCGGCGGCGGCGCAGGTGGTTGAGCGGCAGGATCTGATGGCGAAGGAGAAGAGGATGAAAGTACTGGTGCCAATGGATGACAGTGATGGGAGTTTCTATGCGCTCAAGTGGGCGCTTGACAATCTCTTCGGCAACCACGCTGCTTCTGAGCCGCCGTTGCCGGCGGCGGAGGAGAACTTCATAACCCTGCTCAACGTACAGCCACTTTTCCAGCCCTTCATCTACCCCGCCGGCCCAGGTATATATGTACTTAATTAATTACAACCTCCTGCTAATTTAATTAGTTACACACATAATAATTAATATATATATAATATAATAAAGAAATTTAATTTATGTATGTGAACAAATTAAATAATTTGTGATATGTGAATATATATATACATACACGGCAGTGGTGTACGCAACTCCGGCGGTGATTGATGCAGTGAAGAAAGGGCAACAGCAGAATGCTGCCAATATCCTCTCACGTGCCTTGCACATATGCAAACAGAACAAGGTGCGTTTTAATTTTCATTATTCATTATTGAAAATTGATTAAGTAGGTTTTTAGTATGTATATATATGTGTGTGTGTGTGTGTGTGTGTGAATGCATAGTTTTTATTATTACGCAGGTGAAGGCAGAAACGTTGATGCTGGAAGGTGATGCAAAGGATAAGATCTGTCAAGCAGCCGAGGAATTGCACGTCGATCTTCTTGTTCTTGGCAGCCGCGGCCTCGGTACCATTAAGAGGTTTAATATTATCTAATTTCTAATCCATCATCGTTACATTAATTGTTACTACGTGTCTCTACACCATTCTTCTAGTTACGTCAGCATTTTTTGGTTCGGAAATGTTAAATGTCGTCTCAATTTTACCAATGCCATTTTAACTTCGAACGTGATTCTGACCATTTTCTGTAGTCCTTTGAGTTGGCTTTCTAATCAAACTTGGATTAGTTAGATTGAATGTCAGGTGGCGAAATTATGCATTAATGAGTTATATTTTGAATTTTATATAACTCAAGTTGTGGGTGTGGGCAGTGTTCATTTATTGATTCATGAATATATTTCTCGCCGAACATCCAATCTTGGTGATTTAAGTTGGATTATAAAGTTAACTCAGAGAACTGTATATTCCATGGTTTGAGTTTGGCCAAAATCACGTTTGAAATAAAAATGGTATTATTAAAACTGAAACGTACAATAACATTTATTATCACATCCCTCTTTCGTTTTTATTGTTGATGTTAAATATTTATCGTAGAGTATTAGAGCTAATACGAGACGGGTTGTACGATATTGCATCTGTTATATAAATTTGCAGGGCATTGCTGGGAAGTGTAAGCAATTACTGTGCCCATCATGCTACTTGCCCTGTTCTCATAGTGAAGCCTCCTCCGAGATCTGCTCACGACTAATATTTTAAGTGTACCGTTTCAAGTAATAATAACCGTAGATTAATGTTTTTTATGAAGTGAACGAGTTCGAATAATTACGTTGCTTGTATATATATACTTTCTTTTTTTCATTTTCTTTCGGAGTGACATGGATGAATAAAACGGCGTTTATATGCTTCTTCCATTGCATGCGTGGGGCAAATACACTAGTGTATATTTTGGGTGAGCTTAAATTTGACCTATGGAGGTATCGGTTTTCGATTTTTTTTTTTTTTCGATTTTGCTGACAACTGGAACTACTTGGACAATTCATGCAAATCATATTGTATTAAATTGAGCAAATTACGGTAAGTTACGAAAAACTCCTTTTGTTTGGGTAATTACGACTGTCCGCCCTCTCAAAACTATGTGTTTCTTACTAATCCTCCAGATAGTAAATTTGACACTGGCATGGTAAATTTGAAACTGTAAGGGTGGACGTGTAAAACAATACGTTATCGAGGGTGTGACTGTAATTATTTAAACAAAATGAGTTTTTATTGTAATTTAATTAACAATATCTTAGCAGGTGGCCTGTAATTTACCATATTAAATTTGAGTTCAGAAAAGATACGTTGTCTAAATTTGTTGTTTATAATTTGTTTTCCTTAATCATCAGAGAAATAGTTTATCTAGTAATTAATATTTAATTTCATTTGGTATTGAATATTAATCTCTCTCTTCTTCTCCAATCAGTCATCACCTTACAGTCATTAGGCTCACAGCAAAGCATCCCTAATTGGAATTTTTAATTAACTTATTTACTTATTTATTATTTATTAATTTTAAATAAAGAATTAGGAGTGATGTCAATGTTGGAACAATTCAATATATACCAAATACACTTTCAATTATGGAACAAATATCAATAAAAATCAAAATCGGATAAGTTTTATTATTTTTTAATATTATTCACAAGTCCTTATAACAGTCTGGAAATAGTATCACCATCCTACATTTCTACTTCAAATTCACATATAAATAATATACAAGTTAATTAAATACACCAACAATAAGTCAATAACTGGTTCCTAGCAATTACATAGTTGAATCAAACATATACTTCACAATATAAATATGGCACTTGATAAATACAGTACGTCTTTTAGTAAACGTAAGGCAATGTTTATTCAACAAATAGAAAACTTAGTACTAACTCCATATTTTTTCTTTAAATCTTTATTTTGTCAGAATATCACATTTATTTATCATCAAAATACGAGTTTATCTGCATATCCTCATTTTTCTGGATTTGTGAAGTTTTCTTAGGTCGATCTGTTTTGTGTTTTTAATCCACAAAAATCATCATAAAACTCTTCAATTGAAGTAGAAACATCTATTTTTCAATTTATGGACAAATATTGAGTTTAGTGTTCCCTCCCAAATTTAATTCTAAAAGTTAAAAACCTAAGATTAAATTTAGAAATTCAACTTAAAATGTAACAAATTAAAAAATAAGAATTTTATCTAGGACAATCAAGTTTTTTCTTTTTCCTTTTTAATATATATACTTGGACTATAAAGTTAAAGAAATGATAAATAGGTGGAACGAGAGTAAAATTAAAAATTAAAAAAACGACCTGCATTTACTAAACGCCTTCCTGTATTTATCATTTCAATATAAAGTTGTTTTCGGATGATTACGTGTACGGTTTGTGAAAAACCAGTATTAGATTAATATAATTACCACAATACCCTGTCACACTTCATTATTAAAAAGAAAATAAGCTTATATATATATAACAACACTTGTATAGTATTATTCTCTGAAATGACGTAAGGTTTAAAGTAGTAAAAGCTGAAAGAATAATCAAACCGCCACTCTATTTATTATCACCAATAATTATATATCTCCATTCTTCTTCAACAGATTCAACAGACTCAATTCTTCTCTCGGACAGCTGTCGTTGTTCGTCCGATCGAGGTGGTTCGGAAAATGGCGGTCGTCATCTCGAAACGAAGAGGCTTATTCTTTCTGCCAATTCTCTTATCTTTCACAAGCTCCCTCTTTCTATTCCTCTTCATGATATCTTCCACCTCCAAACCCGACATTCTCCAACCGGGTCTGACCCGGATCCATGTCATCAATCCTCTGCCCGAATTCTCGACAACCAGTTCTCCGGTTATGCCGAAACAGAGCATTGTCGTAAACCGTTCATTAGTTCTTGATCTTCAGACCACTCAATTGCCATCAAGGACAACACAATTGGCCTCAACAGCTGGTAATAAAGTTTTCTTTTTTTTCCATTTTCGTAGTACAATAAATTCATGTTCTTGTTTGAGTACTTAAGGTAAAATAATAATAATAATAATAATAATAATAATAATTTTAAGGTGACATGGTAAATTGGTAATTAATTAATGATGTATGGTTCATGCTTGTTCTAGAGCAGCTCTCAATCGATAGCGATTGGTTGTCGTTTACTTGGTTATTATATGTTTTTTCCAATTTGCACTATACGTTTGTAATGTACGTCAAAAATGGGTGGCTTGCTACTGATATTTATATTTATATATATATATATATATATATATATATATATATATATATATATATATATATATATATATATATATATATATATATATATATATATATATATATGCTCGGTCAAGAAAATAAATATCTTTAGGGTAAATTAGGACCACCTCTGAAGTACAGTCAAATTACGAAAACCTCCCTCATGTTTGAGTAATTATAACTGCCCCTCAATTATGAATTTTCGTAATTACACGGCCACCCTTATGGTGTCAAATTCGATATAATTTTCTAGATTCCGTGAAATGTTCTCTAGCTTGTACTTGTTTTGCGAAAAAAATGCAGTTTTTGATGCACCACAATATCTTATATATACAAACCAAAAAACGCATCTTATAAATGTGGAGCACGAATGGGATAAAATGATTACAAAATTGAGAATACTCTATATAATCTAGAAGATTCCACTAAATTTGACATCGCAAGGATGGACGTGTAAGAAAATTCATTGTTGATGGGGGTGGTTGTAATTACCCAAACATGAGGGTTCTTTTTTCGTAATTTGTCTTTACCTCAGGGGTGTTTGTAATTTACCCTAAATATATTTATTATTTTTGCATACTAGTAATAGTTTAATAAAGTCTCCGCCTATATGGATTATGATTGTGGTGTGTGTTACAAAAATGCATTAAGCGTGTTATTTTTAATAACTCGATATGTATGGAATCTGTTCAATACTAATTACTTAAATCATTTGACTAATTAAACAAATCACAATCATTTTACTTAATCTCTCAGAGACGAAGGTCGAAACAAACGACGACGACGACATATTCCACGACCGAAGCTTCTTCACCAAAGACTACAAACAAATGAACAAAACACTCAAAATCTACGCATACCCACACGACAAAGACGACCCCTTCGCGAACGTACTTCTCCCCGTAAACTCCGAACCAACGGGAAACTACGCGAGCGAGAGCTATTTCAAGAATGCCCTATTCGAGAGCCATTTCCTAACAAACGACCCTTCGGAAGCCGACCTTTTCTACCTGCCCTTTTCCATCGCAAGCTTAAGGCACGACAAGAGAGTGGGCGTCGGTGGGATTAAAGATTTCGTCGCTAATTACGTCGACGAGATTAGTCGGAGCTACCCTTTTTGGAACCGGAGTGGTGGGGCCGACCATTTTTACGTGGCGTGCCATTCCGTCGGGAGAACGGCTATGGAGAAAGCGGTTGGAGTGAAGTTGAACGCTATTCAAGTGGTGTGTTCGTCTAGCTACTTTCTGTCGGGGTACGTTGCCCACAAGGACGCTTCGATACCGCAGATTTGGCCGAGGAAAGGGGTCCCGCCAACTCGCTCGCCGTCACAAAGGTAAGAGAGTCCTTCTTCATTGATCTATATTACTATAGATGCGTCGCGTCGCTAATTCAATACAGTGACAATAAAAAATAAGTACCTATTAATTTGGTGATAATTTTTTTAATATTATAATCACAATAAATAGTCACTTAGCATGATTGATTGATTGAAATAGAGTATTAAAAACTACTCCATCTGTTCCACAATATCTGTCTATTTTAAGAAAATTTTTTGTTCCATATTATCTGTCACTTCACAATTCCAATGATGCATTAATTACATATTTTTCAATTATACCCTTATTACTCTCCAACACTCTTTATGCATTAATTAATAAACAAGGATATTTTGGTCTATCTATATCTATTTTCCTAAAATCAAGACATATTTATTGAGATTCTTAAGACTCGTGCCAATGTGAAAAACGACACATATTTAGGAACGGAGGGAGTATATAGTTACATTTTCCTCGACTAATACGCCAACGATAAAACTAATCGAATCTATTAATAATCTTTGTTGGGGCTTTCTCTACCTACTTTATGTCCTAAAACGAGTAATAAATCGAGATGTCATCTATTAATTAGTTAGGGTGAAAATTGGAACGAAAATTCCAAATTGTGTGGCCCTAATCCGATTTCCAATTTTTTTTTTAACGGATTGGGACTTATTACTTATTAGTACTACAACATTTTCGACGTATAACTGCAGGAAAACATTAGCCTTCTACGCCGGAGCAATGAACTCTAGGGTTAGAAAGGACTTAGTCAAGACATGGGAAAACGATTCCGACATTTCGGTCCACTATTCCCGTCTCCAAACGCCGTATTCCGAAGCCCTTTTGGGGAGCAAGTTCTGCATTCACGCAAAGGGGTTCGAAGTCAACACAGCTCGAATAGGCGACGCGTTGTACTACGGATGCGTCCCCGTCGTTCTAGCGGATTACTACGACCTCCCGTATTCCGACGTAATTAATTGGAACAGGTTCTCCGTCGTTTTGTCGGCCGCCGATATTCCGATGCTGAAGAAGATACTCGAAGGAATCGTAAACCGCGGCGAGTATTTGAGGATGCAGAGGAATGTGATGAGAGTGCAGAAGCACTTTCAGTGGCATGATTTGCCTCTTGATTTTGATGCCTTTTATATGGTTATGTATGAGTTGTGGCTTAGGAGGAGTCACGTGAGAATCACGTGATTTTTTTATTAATTTTTTTATTAGTTATGTTCTTCTTGGAACTTCAGACTGAAAAATAAGAACACTGTGTTCATTGTTAGTCTTGTACATTTTTTTTAAAGGATAATAAATAGTGAATAATATGGAGCTATTAGCACACACCTTCTCGTGTTATTTTTAATTGCCGAAAAAACCTCAGTGCTAAAAAAATTAGCAAAAAGCCCTCATGTTGTGTTTTTCAATGCACACCGGTCCTTATTTCAAAATTTATTGTCGACTTATATGAAATGATCAAATTACCCTTGTAAAAAATAACAAAAATGAACCATAAAGAATTTCAAATGATACTTTTGACTTTTCAAATTAAGAAAATACACTTCTATTCTCAGAGTCCGATGGTGCATTACATGATAGCTCGTTAGAATTTTTTTTTTTGGTCCGACTATTTTTCACAAGGGTGTTCTTGCTAATTTATTTAACACACGGGTTTTTTTAGCAATTAGATATTACACAGAGTAGTTTTTGCAAAAAAAAAAAAAAAAAAAAACCCGAATAGTGAATTAAAAAAAGGGATTTCTACTTATTTGAGAAATAAATTAATAAAGTAATATTTGATTATATTTCTAAAATAAATAATTTTACACTCTAGCAATTAAATTGTACATTATACATTTAAAAAAATAAATAAAGTGATGCTAGTTTGTAATTGACGTAAAATATTCCATATTTGTTATGTAACACTAAGATGAGTCGGAAAATAAGTATATTTTTTTTAACTGATATGCTAAAGCCTACACTAATTTTACAAAATCATACACACAATTGAAAATATTTATCTCTCTAAAATCTCATTTTCTCCTTCCTCGACCTTCTTCTTTTTCCCTAACTTTTTTCACAAAATCACACACTAAAAACATCCCTAGCATTCCAAGTTCGAATTTGAGAAAAATCTTCACGTGTTCAAACTAAAATAAAGTTGGAATTTGAGGGAAAAAAATAGAATTGGTATGAATTTGAATAATTAAAAAGTCATAATGAAATTGAAAAATATTAAATAAACTTGAACTCATTTTTTAAGATTATTCACGTGAAAGATTAACGAATTTTGAGTGACTTGAACAAAATCATCATAGAGAAAAAAAAGTTAGAGATAATGAGTAGTGAGAGATTTTTTTGTTTTAACTTATGCGTGAGATTTAGTAAATTTCAGTGAGAGATTTTAATTTTATTATTTTCTTCCAAATATTTTGGATTAATTAATTCGAATTTAATAAATATAATTTGATTTTGGAGAAGAGTGAGAATTGAATTTGTTCTAGAAGGAACAAACATTGTCAACGTCAGACTTGTGTCAATAGACCAGTCATTCATCTAGTGCAAACAAGCGCGTATGAATCACCGCGCACCGCGGAAATGGCTGCTTCATCAGCCTACCTGCTCCACAATCTCCTCACGCGCCGCCGCGACCGGAGCAACCTCACCCACGCTCTGAAACCCCTATTCTTTTTCATGCCCACAACCTTAGCTCTCGCCACCACTCTCCTCATCCTACTCTACATCTCCTCCACTTCCAATCTCTTCTTCATTCATGAAATCCCCAAAATACCCCTCTCTTTTTCCCCTCCAAAATTTGTCGGAAAAATTGCCAATTTTTCGGAAATGGAGGGTGGTGGTGTACTTACCGGCGCTGAAAACCGGAGTAATTTTGAACTCCACGTGGGTTCCCATGGTATGTGTAGTTCACTACTTAGTTCTTGATTTTTTTATTTTATAATGTTTGTTGTGGTTGTGGCCCAAATGTGTCTTGGGCCTATAGCCCAATTTCCACATTACACACACACTTGTCTATTTGGAAAGGCCCAACCAGAATAAGTCCAGCCCATTAGTGGGAATGTGCTAGAAGGCTTGAATCTGAACCGTTGGTTCTGGTGTGATCTCAGCCGTTCATTATAGCTGACCTTTCCTCTCCCTTGTACCTCCTTTCCCGTTTTGTGCCCTAGACAATCTCTGTTCTCTCCTTTGGTCCCCCTCTGCTTCTTTCTTCTTTTGCCCCAGCAACCATGGGCCATTCGCCGCCGTCCTTGGCCGTGCTTGTCCCAGTGGTTGTCTCTTCAACGGCTCCTTTTGACTGGAGTCCCTATTTAATGCGGAGAGATGTGTGGCAGAGGGTAAGACCTAGATTGAAACCCTAAATTCAAACACCTTACCTTATTCTTCTGTGAGCTGGGTCTGTGGTGAGTGGGTAAGAAGCTGAGTGCATCTTCTTCGTGGTCTTACTGATAATCTGGGTGGTTTCGGGGGTTTGAGTGCAGAGAGAGGATTGGTTCTGAGTGTGGTGCAATCCTAGACTGTGTGTGTGTGTGTAACAGTGGATACCTTTGTGGATCTGTGTGTGTGAATCGGTTTGGAAGACTGAGCTGTCTTCAATTTCATACTTCTGTTTTTCCCATACATTCATATTTATTTATCTTATAATGTTATTTTACTAACATCTATTTTGAGTTCTTATTTGTAAGCTTTCTTCGAGTAGAAACCCTACAATGTTTTTTTGGACATGCTTACTTCTTGAAATTACTTATGTCAAAATGTGTGATATTGATTTTTCAATAAATGAAAAAGTACCATGTTAGCGGCGATATAGTGATCGGCGGCGATTTGGTAATCGGCTATTGTTTGTGAATGTTTACGAATGAATTATGGCGAGTCCAGAATTTGTTACAGGATGGAACTTAAATTTTTGGGCGAAAATTGTTTGAGGACTTTTTTGTGACAAATAAAATCAGAAAATAGGAAAAGAAAAAAAGAAAAGATATTTTTTTAGAGCTTTTTTTCTTGGTAATTTGGATTTTGGGTGGGCTAATGAATAAAAATTGGGGCGTTTTTTGTATGAATTTGGATTTTGGGGGGCTCTATAGATATAATTTAAGGGATAAATTATCATGTGAGGGTGGGCTTGAGTCCCACCCTTGCCCAAAGTTGGACTCGCCCCTGAGTATAGGTAATGCTTCTTAGTGGAAATTGTGTGTGCAATTTGTCGATTTTTTTGGCATATAAAAAGAGGGTTTCTCGTATCAAATTGTCCGAAGTTGGTTAAAGTGGTTACATGTACAGAGTGCGTTGTATTATCCATTCTTGAAATTTCTTTTTTAAGGATAGCCCCTTTTCTTGTAACTATAGTTGGGACAAGAATTTCAATTGCGACTACGACGAAAGAGTGATATATAGCTATTCATTTCTTGATAATTTAAAGTATTTGCAGATTCTCATATTTCACGGTTCGGAAATCCGTGTATTTGCACCTAATTCTTGAATTGGTTGTGCTACAGGCTCAGGAATGTACATTAACAACAAAGAGTTGTTCCACGACAGAGACATCTTCCTTAAAAACTACAAGGACATGAATCGAACCTTGAAGATTTTCATTTACCCACACAGAAAAGACGACCCGTTCGCAAACATTCTCTTACCCGTTGACTCCGAACCGAGTGGCAACTACGCAAGCGAGAGCTACTTCAAGAAAGTTCTCTCCAGCAGCCATTTCGTTACCGCGGACCCTTCCGCAGCGGATCTATTCTTCCTGTCGTTTTCGATCGCAAGATTGAGGCACGACCCGCGAGTGGGGATCGACGGTATTCAAGATTTCGTCAGAGATTATATTTTCAACGTTAGTCGGAAATACCCTTATTGGAATCGCAGCGGAGGTGCTGATCATTTTTACGTCGCGTGCCATTCGATTGGCCGTTCTGCTATGGAGAAAGTTGCTAGAGTTAAACTTAATGCTATCCAAATCGTGTGCTCTTCGAGTTATTATATCTCTTCGTATGTGGCTCATAAAGATGCTTCGTTGCCTCAGATTTGGCCTCGGGAAGGTGATCCTCCGAATCTTGCACGTGAAAGGTAAGTCCATTTTTTTTTAATAACGGTTTTATTGTTATTACATTTTGTTTAATCTTGCTATTAAATGCATAATGTATATTGATGTTTTGAAGTTTGTGATTGAGGACTTGTTTCGTTCGGTTACCCATGTATGGTTAATTTAGATTAGATAAGATTGGATAAATTCCCTACTGACTAACTAATTATTTTTGGGTTTATTGCATTAGGCACCCCTGTGTTTTCATTAATTGTTAAAAAAGGGTTAAATACAAAAACACTCCTGTACTATGGACTTTGTATCATATACCCTCCTGAACTACACATAAATATAAAAACCCCCCTATTGTTACATTTTTTTCCAAAATCTGACGAAAATATTCTTGCTAAAGCAATATAAATATAAGGGTTTGTTTGAGCCATTTTCCAATATATTTTTAACATTTTCGGTCAATTTTACTTGGGGAATTTTGGTATTTTTATTTTTTTCTAAAAAACATCTAATTGCTTAGATTTTTTTTTTTTAAATTTTTGTCATTTTGAATTTCTTCATTTTTTTCTTAAATGTCTTTCGGTAGTTCAAATTCGAAACAATCATAGGATTGTAAAGATGTTTGTAATCTTAGGATGTTTGAAGTTTGAACTACCAGAAGACATTTAAGAAAAAAAATTAAGAAACTCAAAATGACAAAAATAAAAGATTTTATTCAGAAAATTAAAATAATTTAAGCAATTAGATGTTTTGGAGAAAAAAATATAAATACCAAAATTTCCCAAGTAAAATGGATTGAAAATGGTAAAAAATATAGTGGAAAATGGCTAAAACAAACCCTTATGTATATATATGCTTTAGCAGGGGTATTTTGGTCACATTTTGGGAAAAATGTAGCAATAGAGGGTTTTTTGTATTTATGTGTAGTACATGGGGTATATGATACAAAGTTCATAGTACATGGGTGTTTTTGTATTTAACCCTAAAAAAAACTCCCCATATTATTTTACTAACAAAACCCCATGTGATTCAATTTTATTCACCAAAAGACCCCTAGAACCCCATTTTCTAGGATGTTTTTGCTAATAATTATAACACGGGGCGTTTTTTAGCAATTTGATATAACACAGGGGTACTAAATACAATAAAATCCTAATTATGTAGTTAGTAAGATGTTCAGTTCTTAAATTAGATTTTATATTAAATTTGTTAATTATGTTATTGTATTTGATTTGTGTATAAAACTTTTTATTGGGATAAAATTCAGGTCAAAGCTAGCATTTTTCGCCGGATCAATAAACTCACCGGTGCGCGAAAAGCTTCTCCAAGTATGGAAAAACGACTCCGAAATATCGGTCCACTTCGGCCACCTCAGCACATCCTACTCAGAGGAACTTCTAACGAGCAAATTCTGCCTACACGTTAAAGGATTCGAGGTCAACACAGCTCGCATCGGAGATGCACTTTACAATGGCTGTGTGCCGGTAATAATTGCCAATCATTACGACCTCCCTTTCCAGGATATAATTAATTGGAATAGTTTTTCGATTGTTATTGCCACATTGGATATTCCCCTTCTCAAGAAAATCCTCCAAGGTACGAGCTTTGACGAATTCTCGATTTTACGGGACAATGTTTTGAAGGCGAGGGTGCATTTTCAGTGGCATCTTTCTCCCGTTGATTATGATGCTTTTTACATGGTTATGTATGAATTATGGCTTCGACGAAGTTCGACGAGAGTTTTAGCTTAGTTTTTTTTTTCTTTTCTTTTGTAGATAAAGTTCAATTTTAATATTAATTTGTAGAATTAAAGGGAAGCAGAGTAACTATATATATACAGGGTAAATTACCGCCATTCCCGTGAGGTAAGGTCAAATTACTATAAAATCCTCATGTTTGGGTAATTCGAGGACACCTATTGGACACCTTATGGGCCAATTTGCAATTTTTAAAAAGTTAGAAACATATTTGAATTACAATTTTTTAAATATTTTTGTCGATTCCCTAATTATTTACATTATATAATCAATTGCCAATAGATAGCTGATAGCAATATTTATTTTGAATATGTTTACACGAAAACATGTAAAAATAAAAACTTATAAATGTTTATAATATGACATATTTATAAATATACCCTTATATTTTTAATACTTGCACGTTTCTTCCAAACTCTCGTATCTCTATTTTTGGGATATGCCGTTTTCCCGTGCCTGTTTTTTTGTTTCCCCTATCGTCGTTTCCGTATCTAAGCTACATAATTGATGATTGATCGATCAAATCTAGGTTAATTTTCAGACATCAAAGGTTTTTTTTTTTTTTTTTTTTTTTTAATGTATGTTTGACAAATACACATCTTTGATCTTTCACACAATACAAATACACTAGAAACTCGATAATTAATAATCTCACTTAAAATAATATTTTTTATCAGTCTCGATTCGGGGATAATGTGCTAAATTATTAGTACAATAATTTAATATTTTACTAAATGAATAGAATTTTACTAGTTTCAACTGTATTAATTTATAGAGTTTAACCGTAGTCGATAATGGAAGTACCTTTTAAGTTCAAAGTTCACCTTTAATTAGCTATCAAAGTTGCTTAGCCAAGAAGTTCAAAGTTCAACCGTTAAACTTTATTAATATTAATTGAATAACTACTCCTAGGAAATAAATTGAAATTAATTCACGGTCATTAATAATGGAGATAAATGGAGCTCATGAGTTCTTTATTCAAAAGTCAAAGTTACTTTTGTAAAATGTTGATTTATTTAAATTATTGCACGTTAAACTTTTATGCTAAGTGTAACAACTATGGTAATGTTTATACAAAAACAAATAAAAATATATGGTTTTGATTTAATCCACATAACAAAGTTTACAATAAAATATATGTTGCTATTTTATAAATTGACATTACTTGGCACGACTAGCACTTTGCATCCAAGATTTGGGACCATCACTCAACAAAGCTTAGTGACATGCACTATTATGGTTCGTATAGGATAATAATTAATACAGTGGGCGGATTCAACTTTTTTCTTTTTTAATTATCCACGAAAAAAGAATTTATTTATTTATTTATTATTATTTATTATTATTATTATTATTATTATTATTATTATTATTATTATTATTATTATTATTATTATTATTATTATTATTATTATTATTATTATTATTATTATTATTATTATTATTATTATTATTATTATTATTATTATTATTATTATTATTTATTTATTTATTTATTTTTATTTAATTTTCTGAAATGTTATGTCGTTCCAATTTTACTAATGTCGTTTTGACTTCGAACCTGATTTTAACATATTTCTATTTTGATTTTGGCAAAATTCGAAACACGAAAACTGTAGTCTTTTGGGTTAGCTTTCTAATCCAACTTAAATCCGCTAGATTGGATGTCGTGTGACAAAGTTATGCATGAATGAGTCACATTTTGAATTTTAGATACCTCAATTCATCAAATTTGTGGGCAGTATCCATTGATTAATGTATATCTTTCTCGTCCGACATCCAATTTTGGTGATTCAAGTTGGATTAGACAACTAACTCAGAATACTTCAAATTCTATTATTCGGGTTTTGCAAAATTTGGAAGTAAAAATGATCAAAATCACGTTTGAAGTCGTAACGGTATTATTAAAGCTCGAACGACATTTATCACATCCCATTTTTTTTTTTCATGTGAAATACATATTTAACATCCATCACAATGCTTAGAAAATAAGTTATAACTAAATGATAAAAAAAAAAAGAAAAAGAATTGAATATAAATTGGGTAAATTACGGTCACCCCTGAGATGATATCCAATTACAAGAAAAATCCTCTCATGTTTGAGTAATTACAATCACCTCCTCGGTTATGAATCTTTTTACACGTCCATCCTTACAGTGTCAAATTTAGTGGAATCTTCTAGATTATGTGGAATAGTCTCCACTTTGTAACCATTTTACAACATTCGAGCTTCATATTTCGAAACAAGATGATCAGAAAATGTGTCTCTTGGATTGTGACTATCAGATTGTGGTGCATCAGTAACTGCATTTTTCGGAAACAAACAAGTACAAATTAGAGAACATTTCACTGAATGTAGAAGATTGTGTTGAATTTGACACCGTAACGAGTTGACGTGTAAGAAGATTAATAGTTGGTGACGCGATTGTAATTACCCAAACACGACAGGTTATTTTATAATTTGACTTTATATATGAGAGGTGACCGTAATTTATCCACGTAAATTTGATTTTTTTTTTCTCGTTTTTAATATAATTTATTTTATTAGTTTATTTATTTTATAATAATAACAATTAAACGTCGGTATAACTATAATGCCTAATTTTGTTTTCACTACCGACTATTTTCCTAGGCGTGGGCCCCACATTCACCCCCTACTCAAATAACACGGTGCCAGCTGGCACTCCGTGTGAGCGTTTGCGTTCCTCACACGCGTCACTATCAACGCACCGCCTATATATACAGACAGACAAATCCTTATTTAGATATATCATACATACGCCATAATCAAGAAACTCGAGAAGCGATTTACATTACCAGAAAATTGGCTACAATCTTCTACTTATTTGCAGAGGTACCCTTTTTGTACTATCTTTTCACGCATTTTTATTGTTTATTTATTTATTTTATTAATATTGCACGTCCAGAAATTCTCTCTTCGATCAATCTTTATTTATTTATTTAATGTGAGTTTTTTTTTTTATATGTGATTAATTGTTGATTAAATTTGGCAGATGGATCTGCTTTTTCTTGATCTAGAAAAAAAGTAAAATCTGATTGATTAATTTTGATCTTATTACTGTGTCTGATCATGAAATATGATGTCTGAACAATTACTGAGTAATGAATATTATTTCTTAAATTATTGTTCTATGTATTGTTGTATTATGCAGACTTTCTGATCAGGCATTTTTTTTTTCTCATCAGGTATTGGAAACTAAATAAACAAGAGAAAATACATATATTGAGATGGAAGACAACTGTGAGAATGTTCATATCAAGGAAGAGAATGTGGAGAAGGAGAAACTTCACTGCAAAATCGAGGGCGAAACCGAAAAGCCCGATGGAGCCGAAGAGAAGACCAAGTTTGACCTTGAAGTGGAGAGCAAGTCGGTTGTGAAAGAGAAAAAAGACGAGGGAGATGAAGACGACGACGAGCATAAAAAGAAGAAGAAGAAGGATAAGTCGGAGAAGAAAACCGACGAAGAGGAGGAGGAGAAACCTAAGAAGGAGAAGAAGAAAGACAAGAAGAAGGATCTAGAAGGCGAAGAGAGCGAGGGTAAAGAAGGTAAAAAAGATAAGGAGAAGAAGAAAGACAAGAAGAAGGATAAAGACGTCGATTCCGAAGGTAAAAAGGAAGAAGAAACCGACGAGGCGAAAGATGAAAAGAAAGAGAAGAAGAAGAAGAAGAAGAAAGATTCTAATGGAGAAGAAGAAGAGAAGGAAGAGAAGAAGAAAGATAAGGAGAAGGAGAAGAAGAACAAGAAGAAGGACAAAGAAGAAGAGACGAAAAACGGGGGTGATGCTGCTGAGGTGGCGTCTAGGGAGATTAAACTAGAAGGAGATGAGAAAACACCGGAAGGTGAAGTTTGTAAGGATAAGAAAGACAAGAAAAAGAAGGACGAGAAGAAAGGGAAAGTTGAAGACGTTGGCAAACTGAAAACGAAGTTGGAGAAAATAAACGGGAAAATCGAAGGTCTCCTCGAGAAAAAAGCCGACATTGTGAGGCTGATAAAAGAAGCCGAGGAGAAGGAAAATGTTGATAATAATGCTAAGGCGACCGAAGAAGGATGTGTAGCTGCTGCACCTGCTGAGGTTGTAGCTTAATTAGCACTTGGTGTTTTCGTAATACGTCTTAACCAATTTTTTTATTTTTTTTTCTTAATTGTGATCTTCGATTTTAGTAGCGTCTATGTCTAATATTCTCTGGTCTCGTTTGAAGATGGAGATATGTGTGTGTGGTTTTTTTTTTTTTTTAATATGGTTGTGTTTGGAAGAGATGTATTTACGGTGTTATTTGTACGGTTTGGGTTGAATATAGAGATTCTATGACGCCTCTTCATTCAGTAATGACCAACACTGTTGTGTTGTC